ACCTTGTAACTGAACACACCCAAAGACATCCTTAAAAGTAATTGGATTTCATTTTGATAATGCAAAAAATGTTGGACATCCTAAAGAAAATAAGGTACTTCGACCCCGCAAGAGGGAAAATCCTTAATACGGCTTTTCAGACTTATGTAATAAGTATACACACTCTTCTGATAGGTTAATGATCATTGCTGATGGACAAAAAGTACACAAACCCATGGTGATACACAGACCCTTGGTGATACATAGACCCTTGTTGAAACACAGACCCTAGGTGATACACAGACCCTAGGTGATACACAGACACAAGGTGATACACAGACCCAAGGTGATACATAGACCCTTGGTGATACATAGAACCTAGGTGATACACAGACCCAAGGTGATACACAGACCCTTGGTGATACACAGACCCTTGGTGATACATAGACCCTTGGTGATACACAGACCCTAGGTGATACACAGACCCAAGGTGATACACAGACCCTAGGTGATACACAGACCCTAGGTGATACACAGACCCAAGTGAGACCCAAGGTGATACACAGACCCTAGGTGATACACAGACCCTAGGTGATACAAAGACCCTAGGTGATACACAGACCCAAGGTGATACATAGACCCTAGGTGAAAACACTTGGTGATACAAAGATTCTTGTTGATACAAAGACGTTAGGTGATACACAGACCCTAGGTGATACACAGACCCAGGGTGATACACAGACCCTAGGTGATACATAGACCCTTGGTGATACACAGACCCTATGTGATACACAGACCCTAGGTGATACACATACCCAGGGTGATACATAGACCCAAAGTGATACATAGACCCTAGGTGATACACAGACCCTAGGTGATACATAGACCCAAGGTGATACACAGACCCTAGGTGATACACAGACCCAAAGTAATACACTGACCTTAGGTTATACATAGACCCTTGGTAATACAAAGACCCTATGAGATAAACAGACCCTTGGCGATACACAGACCCTCACAATTTCCCTTGTGATACATTGACAAGCATTGGTGAATACACAGACCCTTGGTGATACAGTCCCCTGGTGATACACATACCGTTGGTGAAACACAAGGCATTGGTAATATACACACATAGACCCTTGGTGACAAAGATTCTGCGTGATACATAGAAACATAACCCTTGTTGATACTAAGACCCTTGACAAACCCTCTGTGATGCACATACTCTTGGTTATATTAAAAACCAAACCCTTGCAAATACAGACATACACCATTGGTTAATATAGAGAAAAGTGATCAATATACAGAAACTTGGTAATAAGTATGTAGACCCTGGTACGTGACAGGTAATACTTCTCCTAGATATAGATATACAAACCTTGGTGATGGTATAGCGGTAATGACTCTGGTGATACTTGTTTAAAGACCCTGGTGATATATACAGACCCTGGTGATGGGTGACAAATAGACCCTGGTGATGGGTATACAGACCCTGCTGATACATAGGTGAACATAGACCCTTGATGGGTATACTAAGACCCTGGTGATGGGTATACAGAACCCTGGTGATGGGTATACAGACCCTGGTGATGGGTATATAGACCCTGGTGATAAATAATACAGACACTGGTGATGGGTATACAGACCCTGGTGATAGATAATATAGACCCTGATGATGGGTATACAAACCCTGGTGATGGGTATATAAACCCTGGTGATAGATATTATGGACCCTGGTGATGGGTATACAAACCCTGGTGATGGGTATATAGACCCTGGTGATAGATATAACAGACATTGGTGATGGGTATACAGACCCTGGTGATAGATAATACAGACCCTGGTGATTGACCCTAGTGATGGGTATAAAGACCCTGGTGATGGGTATACAGACCCTGGTGATGGGTATACAAACATGGGTATACAGACCCTGGTGATGGGTATAAAGACCCTGGTGATGGGTATATAGACCCTGGTGATGGGTATACAAACCCTGGTGATGGGTATATAGACCCTGGTGATGGGTATACAGACCCTGGTGATAGATAATACAGACCCTGGTGATGGGTATACAAACCCTGGTGATGGGTATGCAGACCCTGGTGAAAGATGGTCTGGTAAAAGATAAAGTATACCCTGGTGATGGGTATACAGACCCTGATGATGGGTATACAAACCCTGGTGATGGGTATACAAACCCTGGTGATGGGTATACAGACCCTGGTGATGGGTATACAGACCCTGGTGATAGATAATACAGACCCTGGTGATGGGTATACAAACCCTGGTGATGGGTATACAGACCCTGGTGATAGATAATACAGACCCTGGTGATGGGTATACAGACCCTGGTGATAGATAATACAGACCCTGGTGATGGGTATACAGACCCTGGTGATAGATAATATAGACCCTGGTGATGGGTATATAGACCCTGGTGATGGGTATATAGACCCTGGTGATGGGTATACAGACCCTGGTGATGGGTATACAGACCCTGGTGATAGATAATACAGACCCTGGTGATGGGTATATAGACCCTGGTGATAAATAATACAGACACTGGTGATGGGTATACAGACCCTGGTGATAGATAATACAGACCCTGGTGATGGGTATACAGACCCTGGTGATGGGTATACAGACCCTGGTGATGGGTATACAGACCCTGGTGATAGATAATACAGACCCTGGTGATGGGTATATAGACCCTGGTGATGGATATACAGACCCTGGTGATGGGTATACAGACCCTGGTGATGGGTATATAGACCTTGGTGATGGGTATACAGACCCTGGTGATAGATGAAACAGACCCTGGTGATGGGTATACAAACCCTGGTGATGGGTATACAAACCCTGGCGATGGGTAAACAAACCCTGGTGATAGATAATACAGACCCTGGTGATGGGTTTACAAACCCTGGTGATGGGTATACAGACCCTGGTGATAGATAATACAGACCCTGGTGATGGGTATATAGACCCTGGTGATAGATAATACAGACCCTGGTGATGGGTATACAGACCCTGGTGATGGGTATATAGACCTTGGTGATGGGTATACAGACCCTGGTGATGGGTATACAGACCCTGGTGATGGGTATACAAACCCTGGTGATGGGTATACAGACCCTGGTGATAGATAATACAGACCCTGGTGATGGGTATACAAACCCTGGTGTTGGGTATACAAACCCTGGTGATGGGTATACAGACCCTGGTGATGGGTATACAGACCCTGGTGATGGGTATAGGTGATAGATAATAAAGACCCTGGTGATGGGTATATAGACCCTGGTGATGGGTATATAGACCCTGGTGATGGGTATACAGACCCTGGTGATAGGCATACAGACCCTGGTGATGGGTATACAGACCCTGGTGATAGATAATACAGACCCTGGTGATGGATACATAAACCCTGGTGATTGGTATATAGACCCTGGTGATAGATAATACAGACCCTGGTGATGGGTATATAGACCTTGGTGATGGGTATACAGACCCTGTTGATATATGATACAGACCCTGGTGATGGGTATATACAGACCCTGGTGAACAAATTACAGAGCATTGTGATGGGAACACAAACCCTGGCAATAGATAAACAGAACTTGTTTATAACAGAAAAGGTAGGAATGAATGAATTAAAGAATGAATGAATGAATGAATAAATAAATAATTAAATTCATTAATAAATTTAAAAAAAGAATAAAAAGGAATGAATATGATAAATTAATTATCTATTTATTAGTAAATCAATCAATTATTAGAAATAATAAATAGATTGATAAATAGATAAATAAATATATAAATAAATATATAAGAAATAAAGAAATAAATAAATAAATAAATATATAAAAGAAATAAATAAATAAATAAATAAATAAATAAAGAAACCAATAAGTAAATAAATAAATAAATAAATAAAGAAATAAAGAAACCAATAAATAAATAAATAAACAATCAAGCAAAATATAAAGTAAGTAACAAATAAACAAACAAATTAAAATCTAAATGAATTAACTTATAAATTATAGATTAATCAATAAATTTATTAATTAAATAATAGAATAATTAATAAATAATAGAGGAATTAATTACTCATTAGAATAATTAATTCATGAAGAAAAGAATGTATAAATAAATAAACAGACAAATAAATTTCCTGATGAATAAATAATTAAGTTACCTAGTTCATTGATTATTAGAATTAAATGAATTAATTAAACAAATAAACAGAAATAAATGAATGAATAAAAGATTAAATAAATAAATAAATACTAATTGCAAAGTTGACTTATTAATTCTTTGGCTTTTTAAATAAAAATTTATTGAATTATGCGTAAATTTCTGCATCTGAGAATAGCACTACTAAGTTTTCGTTATTTATCTCTCGAATTTCCGCATCTCTGCTGTTTTGGTTACCGAACTCGATGTAAATTTGTTGCGCGCATGCGCTCTGCCTGGTTATAGAGGCTGGTTACGAGATCCAAAAAAGTATTCATAAAACAGGAGCAAAATTTGTCCTGTATACAGCAACCTTAGGAGCTGGAACCAGGAATGGGGCATCACAGGGCTCAATATTTATCTCTATAGAATTGAAACATGCACTAGAAAATAATATGTCAATGCCTGAAATATTAAAAACAAAAATTCAATGCATTATAAATTCTACATATAATTCATCATTTATTCAACATCACTTGAATTTTCACAAAGTATCTCTAAATGCTCTATTCTGAATTTGGCTTTAGCTGTTGATTTTGGTCAATTTATGAAATAATGTATGACTTAATTATGATTGGTTCAATTAAAATAATTACATGAGTTACCAATTTATGCTCAAATATATGAAATAATATACATATACATGAATGGGACATATTTTTTATGCCAGTGATATACTTTTAGTATATAAATGTGACTATCCGGTGACAAAATGAAGGGTGCATCAATTCTAAATGATCAACAGCTGCGTGTACATGTAACAAACATTGATTTTATATTTCATAAACTGTACATGTACGAGTATATTGCATTTACAACTACAAAGTCTGACTCGACAAGAAATTTCTACGATTTCAACACCTGGTAAAGAATATTTCATATGTGCAGAATCTACAAGGTTAGGCAAAGGATATTATTTTTTGCTTGATACTCAAATGCCTGCTAAGATTTCTTTAAAATAAAAAAAAAAGTATAAAATATGATGTATACTATAAACATATGTAAAATGCATAAAATGAAAGAATCTAGATGTATATGATGTGACTAAAGCTCTACTGGTTTTGACTTGAAGAAGAAGAGAGGACCAAATGTACTGAAAGTCTACAAATCTAATAGGTATGTACCCTAATCATTTCTGAACTTATGCTAGGGTGATAAGTACATGTACATTCACCAAAATCTTTATAAAGCAGTGGAAGAAACAAAATGACTCCACATATTCACTTGCTGTATACATAGTAACAATGGCACATTGAGCATCAAAATCCAAATCTGATATACTGTCGACTCCTAATTATATGCGAGGAATCAATTTCCGCGTAATTTCGCAAGAAGCATCACTCGCAAAATAATATTGCTCGCTTTTATTTTTAGGGTGATGAAATCCATTTAAAATCTATTGATCAACTGTCCATTTGCAGATTATTATTCCGCAATTTGACGTTGAAGAGCCAGTACATGATAAAAAGTACTCGCGAAAAATAAGGAATTTACAGTACAACAAATTATCCAAAAACTTGCTTTGGTCTACTTGTAACGTGTTTTATTAAAATCAGACCAAAACTAGCAAGAGCAGCATTCTGAAAGATTCCAAACTTTTCCTGGACAGTTACAATGTAAGATGAGAATTATAAACAGTTAACCTCGCTGTCATGAACACAAAGGGACCCGGCCAGGAATGGGAGGATTCGAGATATGAAGGTTAAAACACAAAGCAAAGGAGAAGTTGGGACTTCCAACTCGAATCAACATATCCATGGAATTCAAATACATGTATCAGAGTTCAACTGTATTATTTAAACTTGTAAATCCTTCTACAGAATAAATAGTGTTTTGTAAAACATCTTAAAGAAAGACAACAGACCCCCTACAATTGGTAGCTTTTCTGGTCTTTGACCAATATAATTTAAAAATATTCAATATAAACAATGCTCTTAAAAAGTTAATCTTTTTAAAAAACTAAAAATTTCATATAAAAGCTGCAATCAGTTCTATTTTCTACTTCACACAGAATGGGTTATATTTCCTCCTCTTCTCTACTGACTGTCACTTTGTCACGTATTGCATGGCTTTTAACAGGGGCATCACGCATCACTGAAGTCTTTGGTGTCTCCATTACTGCAGGAGGCTGAATATTGGAATAAAATGCAGCATTCTCCCTCTCTGGTGTTTCTGAGGCGTACATGGTACGTAGGCCGTTTGACGTGACCGGTCGGACGGGTTTGGAGGGGGAGAGGAAGGCCGGGTCCTCCTCAGGATGAGCCCGTATCTGCTGGGCCGCGTTAAAGGATATCTCCTGAAGGGCTGCAAGACAATAACAGACATCATATAATTAGGACTAGGACAAAAAAACTTTATATGCATGCTATATGTTTACACACTCAAGAAAACATTCAATATGTAACAAAATATACAGATATTATTAAAAAATATTATAAAAAAAAAATAATAAATAATAGTATTTATCACATTATTTAGCACTTGTATTATCCATTGAGGATAAAAGGACAAATGATACTTATAGGTCCTGAGTTAAAGTTCTTTTGGTACCAAAATAATTCTATACAATTTCCCTTTAACTTATGCCCTGTTCACACGACGAGTTTAATTCATAGTAAATTAATGCGAAGTAAACTTATGCATATTAAAATAATGCAAATTAAATTGTGTTCACACTACAGCTAAAGCGAAGTAAACTAATGCGAATTAGAATATTATTTCTACAAATGGCTATTCAGTAAGGGTATTATGATGTCATTTGTAAATAACGTCATGTTTGCAGATCGAGCCATCCATCTGATAAAATAATAATAGTGGCTACAGGTATACATTTAGTGATTAACAAACTTTTCTTTGATTTTTGACCCGAATATAGCACGGATACCTGGTATATATAACCACCAACACGTGTCCTGTGACTTGATTCTGGCCTTATGCATGCGTCAAAATTTAATTGGAATTAGCTTCGCTAAGCATTCACAAGGAGTTAATGCGAAGTAGTTTGATGCACAGTAAATTAATTCGAATTAAAGTAATTTGCATCAAATTCTCTGTGTGAATGCTAAGCGAAGCTAATTTGCAGTAGCTTTACGTTTAATTCGAATTAAACTCTCCGTGTGAACAGGGCATTAATGTCAATGGAGAATTGTCATATCTATATACTTTACAGTATCCTCTAACTCATGTTAATGAAAACTTGTGGTAATATCACTATACTGTATATATCCTCCCTCCTACTAAATGTCAGTTAAATCTTATTGTTACACTTCTATACTGTATCCTACCATAATTTATTGTCAATACATGTACCTCTATACTTCATTTTACTTCTTATTCAATATCAATGAAAACATACTTAAGGCTCTATACTGTATCCCCCCCCCCAACCTCTACCTACATCAGTGAAGACCTACCTGGGTCAGGTGCAGAAGGAAGCCTCCCGTCTGTGGCATCTTTTGTAGTCACCCGGACAATAGTTTTGCGAGAAATTTGTGGGTTATGATCTCCAGGAGGGGGGTCAGTAGGATCTCTCTTGCTATCTGCCCATATTGTTTAATTGACTTGTGCTCCGGTTTTCTTGTCCACTGCCGAGCGAACTATAGTGCCCCCTGGTGGAGGGACCTGAGGGTCGTGCAGGACTGTCCCAGACGGCACTCACGCTGCTGTTCATTGTGTTCATCAGATTTGTTCTGGCCAGCTGACCTTGAGGCACAGGATGTTGACTATGATATGGTGTATTGTATGAATCATGTCCTGGGGTGGAAGTGAAATCCCGG